ATGTGTGAAATTTGACCATGGAGATATGTCCTGTTAGTGCAGGAAAGTGTCACTTGAAACCGTGTTCGGGTCAAAGACATGAGCTCAAACCAGCTTTTGCTGTGTGTGATGCTACAGAAAGCATATGTACCAGCTTTAAAATTTGCATTGAAATGCCTCCATTTGATGGATGAAAGGAATGGGATAGATGGAAGAGATTTGGGGGTTTTAAGCTCTGTTTTAGTACTGTGATATGAAAGCACTGCTCTGTATGTCTGGTGAAATATATTTTGTCTAATCTGTAGGTACTATTCGGTGAAAAAGCTGTGCTCATGTAGATGCTTTCTTGGAATTTCCAGGAGGCAGGTAGAACGAACCAAGTAGTGTTTTATAAGGTGGCCAGTTCTGTCTCAGCATCACAAGTGAGATATGAAGGATCAGCAAAAATCTGCCTTTCAGATGCTGTGCTGGAATATATTACTGCTTTACCAGAACAACACATTTCTATCCCCAGAAAGTTCATGCGAGCTTGCATACATGTAGATACTTCTTGCAGTGCATTTTATTTTTCTTTTCGCCCCTAGGGAAATTGTACTTTTGGGTAGATTCTCAAGCAAGGCATAAACCACAAATGAGTATTTCCTAACTTCATCCTCAGTAGCTTGTGCATTGAGGCTCCCTCTCTTCTGCTCTAAGCCTCAGACACTCTGAGTAAAGAAGCTTCTTTTTGTTTGGCAAGAAAAATAGTCTGGAACAGGGTTTTCAGACTTCTATTACAACTGCAGAATAAAGATGAGAAATCGATGTTCCAAGAAGGAGCTTTTACACTCATGGCAGAGTAGATGCTGTAACGAAGAGAAAGAAATGTCAGGAAAAGCGAATAAGGTTAAGAGTATTTCTCATTGTTTTTTTCTTCCAGCAGAGAATCTTCCTTCCTGTACTGCATTATACCCATCAGCTCCAGTATGCGCAGGACAATGCAGAACGCCAACTTGGGATTTTTTATTTCCCCCTTTATTGTTTGTAGGTTGGATTTTCTTTTTGTTCCAGTTTTCTTACAGACTACCGTGGGCTACGTCTTCCTTCAAATCAAGTGAGCCATTGTGATTTGCACGGGTGGAAAAAGCTGTAACTCTTGAATTTTGCATTTTTATTGAAAATAGGGGAAAAAATGTTACATTATTATCTTCAGGGAAATAAGCTGCAGCATTTGAATAGCTCATAGAATTACATCTGAGATTGAAAGTGTGTGGGAGGAATGAAGATAGCTCTGCTTTAGAAAAATGGCTTTATTTGTGAGTATTTTGTTGTGCTTTCCTGTTATTCAAATGGCCGCAGTGCCATTTGCTTTTGACTTAGTGTGCTAGCTTTAGAAATGAGGAGTTCTCCCACTTGGTCATAATAGGCATTTAACTGTTAAGTCTTTCAGTCTCTCTACTATTTTAACCCCTTGTTAAAATAAATATGCTGCCCGATACATTTTTGTATTGTGAAGAAAACTATAACTTCTGATACAGTGTATGGGTTAGTAACAGTAAAGGAGAATTTACTCATTTAATAGAGGGAGATGAGTATTCTTTCCCATGTTGCTTGTAAAATTCTGGAACTTTAGATGAGTTTTGAAGAAGTCTTATAATTTTTGGCTCTTCTTAAGTAATCCATTAAATGCAGTTTGATGTGTGTGATGAAACATATTTTAGTATTGGAAAATGCGGATTTACTGAAAATAATACAGGAGATGTGAAAAGAAGAATTAAATGACTTAAAACTTAATAGTTTTTGAAACATTCTGAAATAATAATTTCAGAGTGTTGATTACCTGCCTCTGTTGAAGAGTTTTGTATCTGACTTCCTGTTTTAATATGTTTTTTACCAAGTAATCGCTTTCAGGGACATGTAGAAATTGGAGCCTAAGAAGTGCTCCCTCGATGCTGTCTTTATTTATTTAACACATTTTGGTGATTCCTACCTCCTTACTTTGTTGATACATTGAAAATTTGGATGATAATTGTTTATTTCTGATGTTGGTTTTTTTTGCCTTTTTAACAGAATTTTTATCAAATAAAAATCAGTGCAGTTGCTTTAAAAGCAGTGTGATGACAGGACGGCTGAAGTTGGAGTGGACCTGTGTGGTCTGAGCCCCTTGCTCTGAACTGGCTGCCCAAAGCTGTCTGATGCTGCGTTGGAGGTTTCATGACATGCTCATTTGTTTTTGTGCTTAAAAGAAACTTTGGAAGTGGTTCTCTGGAGTTGGTGCTTTTGCCTTCTAAGATTTGTCTCTGCTTACCTTCGCTTGCCAACTCCTCATGTCATTGAGGGTGGTCTAAGTGTTCTTTTAAAGCCCCAAGTTTCTTTCTTTTTATTTGTAGAGTACATATAATGTAATAGTCTTTTTCAAGTCAAGGGAAAAGACCCCAGCATGTCTTTTGGAGGTTCTTGGTACTGTTATGATCCTTCTGTATGCAGTAATGTGTTCTGTTTTGAAGAAATCCTTTCCTTGAGATTTGGACCTGCATGAGCCAAATAAGCCAATGTGGTCAGAGATCCCGTTACTTCCAGATTATCATATCTTGCTTTTTTTGGTCTTTTTAATATATATTCCTCTGTTAGTCTGTTCACATCTAACATTTGCAAATTCCAGCTATGTCCTGTCCTTTTGTCCTGTCACCTCGGTTCATCTTGGAGTTGGAACTGAGGTACACAGCTTGGTTGGTCTCCTGGGGAAATGTATGTTACTCAGTTGTACTGTCTGAGAATCTTGTCCACCATTGGGCCCCTGGTTCAATTTCAAACTAAACTGAGAAGTAGTTGTCTCACATTGCTGAGTATTTTATGGAAATGGGGAGGTGGTGTTAAAAGCCAAGTGACCATTAAATTTCATAAGGAGAAAAGATTGAAGTGTGAGCTCAACATCAGAGAGCAGGGAGTGGAAGGAGGGTATTATAGATGTTCTAATGAAAGAAAAAAATGCTAATATTACTGCTTGTCTTGTATTTGGTATCATAAATCCTATTGGGAAGCACAAGCTTTATGCTTCCTCATCGCTTTGTTGCTTCTTTTTGAGATAGCTATTTCTTGAGATAGATAATTGCCTGCTTTTATACAAGAATGATTAACAACTAAGAAAAGAAGGGTTTGATGATTTTTTTCCTTTCTGGTAGGGATATGCTGTATTCAGGAGCAAGGGACTCAAAACACGTAGTTCTAGAGCAGTTTGAATTTTCCATCTTCAGGGACATTGAGGGGAGTGTGCTACCATGGATACTGTTGGCAAAGTGATTGGCTTGACAGCTTTGTCTCTTGCTCCTGCCCTAACCTTGAGGAGTTTGAGTTTTCTTGTCAAGCCTCAGTTTTCATGTACGCTCCTGACAGTTCTGCTGTCAGCTTATGGAGTCCAATCAAATACGCATCAGTTACAATGGCAGCAGGTAGAACTGAGGAAGCTGGCTACAACGCAATAACTGCTTTCTGAAGTTGCGAAACCTCGGCCAACTCAGCGTCCATGCTCTGTTTTAACACTCTGTTGCCGTGAAAATTAACAGTTTGTTACATGTATTGATCTTAATGGTACTTGGCTTTGCGTGTGGACCAACAGTATCAGTACGGTACTGCTTCCAATTGTTAACAGTCATGGGAATGTCAGAGTTAAGTAATTAAATGCACAAATAGCAGTCTGAGTGAATTCTCCAGTGTGATTCAAAGTGGGGTGAAGATAAAAATGGCTGAGCCACTTGTAATGGATTATTAATGCCAAAAGGGGAGGGTGTTACCCTCCTGCTAATTTCCTGCTAATTTGTGACGTCCTGCCTTTTGCATCACATCTGTTCTGCTGCCAGACTCTGTATTTTCTGTTCCTCACAGTTTATTTTCTGTCAGGTTTATTTATGAGTTGAATGGATTTTCCAGAACAGTCCAAGAAACACCAAAAAATGCACAGAGTAGACAGGAGGAGCTCAGATTCCAGAATGACAGATAGGGGGGAGTGGAGTGAACAGTTGCTGTGGGGAATGATCATAAACTGTTGGTTTAGTTCAGACTTTTTAATGGAGCTGCCCTTCAGCTAGACACTGGGTGCAAGATGTTGAGAAGTTCTTGTATTTGGAGTAGTTTTTGATGCAGCTTTTTTTCACTGAATATTTAGTTTCCTTAACAGGGCATTGGGATGGTTTTGTGTTTCGTTTGTTTTTGTTGTCTTGTTTTGTTTTTTGTTGTGTTTTTTTTTGCTTATTTGCAGTTGACTCTAGCTTGCACAGAAGCAGCGCTATATGTTTATTAATATTCATATGCTTAATAAACACTTAAGCTTCGCCAAACTCCGTACGTAAAATATTATTTATTATCATGTAATCCTGTTAGTGCTTCCTATGGCTTTAGTGTCCAGCAGTTTATAAATCTCATTTCATAAATAATGCTGAGAATAAGAAATGGAAATACTGGACTGTAGTGTTCTGAGAAAGACGGGACAGAAACTTGAATAATATCTCTCTGTTCTGTTTCCTTGCAATAATTTATGAGTAAACTAACACACATTTTAAAAAATACTACATTTTGGGAGGAGATTGTGTTTTGTATGGGCCTTCTGGAGTTTGTTTCTGAAGTGAAGAAAGTTCTGCTTCCTTTGTTAAACCTTTGATACTCAAGATGGGGTGTTTCATTACTTTCCTGAGATAACTATGGAAAGATAGAGGAGAGGAGGGAGAAAACAGTGGAGAAGTTGGCATCGTTTATGCATTATCCTAACCTCTGAGTAGTTTGAAATGGGGAATCATTTTGGTGTTATCTCATAGTTATTCACATTCATTACCTTTAAATGGAGAATATTTTGGGGTGGGAAATAATTGAAGTTTCAGTTTTAAATCTCAAGTTAATTTTTCAGCTGAACAGAAGACAAGAAGGATGGGGAAGACTTCTAAGTCTTGATGAAAGTAACTTCTGTTTGCATTTATCTGGTCAGAAAGAGCTTGTGATGTGTTCAATACTAGAAATAATTTATTTTTATTTTTATTTTATTTTTTCTTCAGGTGATTCATGGCAGGGGACGTGGAAGGGTTTAGCTCCTCCATCCATGACACCAGTGTCTCTGCTGGATTCAGAGCACTGTATGAGGAGGGATTGCTTCTTGATGTCACACTTGTCATTGAAGACCACCAATTTCAGGCCCATAAAGCACTGCTTGCCACCCAGAGTGATTACTTCAGGATTATGTTCACAGCTGACATGCGGGAACGAGATCAGGACAAAATCCATTTGAAAGGTCTGACAGCTACAGGCTTCAGTCATGTCCTCCAATTCATGTATTATGGAACTATTGAACTGAGTATGAACACTGTTCACGAAATCCTTCAGGCTGCCATGTACGTCCAGCTTATAGAGGTGGTAAAATTTTGCTGCTCTTTTCTCCTAGCTAAAATCTGCCTAGAAAACTGTGCAGAAATCATGAGACTTCTGGATGATTTTGGTGTAAACATCGAAGGAGTCAGGGAAAAATTAGACTCTTTCCTGCTAGAGAATTTTGTGCCGCTCATGTCCAGACCTGACTTCCTTTCATATCTGAGCTTTGAAAAGCTCATGTCTTACTTGGATAATGATCATCTGAGCAGGTTTCCAGAGATAGAGCTGTATGAAGCTGTTCAGGCCTGGCTGCGCCATGATAGAAGACGCTGGAGGCATACGGACACCATCATTCAGAACATCAGGTTTTGTTTGATGACACCATCCAGTGTTTTTGAGAAGGTTGGTGCATTTGAAAAGCAGTAGGCAGAATTCATCATTTAGCTAGGGCAACGTACCATTAAACAAGTAGGATTCCCAGTCCTGTTAGGAGGAACAGTAGACCCGTAGAAAACAAACATCTATAAGTACTGCCACCTGATTGTTAGGCAATAGTATGTACAGTGGCTGGAGAACAGGTAGGTTGTAATATATGTGTTGAAGTAACTTCATATGAAAAGACATTTTAAGATAAGGTCGCTTGTATCTGGTTTTATTTCAGTCATTCTTTCTGTTTTCTGCAAGTTGTTTCTTGCTTCCCAGAGATTTTGTAGAGCATACGTTGTGACAAATGTTACTGATATAATCAAAACGTGCTCACTGTAGATTTTGTGTGTTTTAAGTACATTTTTCTTCTTTACAAATGAAAACTGACATCTGCTGTTAAATCTGCAGTGTTTTTGTTTTTATTGTATCTTCAGTACTCGTGCTATTACACAGCAGTTAGGAGTAAGCCCCGATCCTGCAAAGTTCCACGTCCATGTGATTTTACTCAAGGCATATCATACAGTCAAAAGTGATTGACAGTGTGAAATGTAACGACTTACTTGAAATATCAGAGGAGTCTTTGTAAGAGGTGACAAAAAATTCAACTAATGATTGTATGTTTTAAGAGGTTAAATGAGAACTTGCTTTTTCCACTGCTCTGTTGAAGAATAGACAAAAAATGTTGCTCTCTAGTTCCTGAGAAACTCGGGAACATTTGATGTGGGTAGAGAACTCAAAGCTTGTAAGCAGCTCTCACAGGCTAGTAACTGAAAGGGTATTCAAGTTAGGAGTTCTTCAGCTTGTGCTATTATGTTATGTCATTGTTATTAATCTTGTGTGTTCAGATGAACTTTTAAATTCTGTATTTTTCACCTCTCAGTGAATTAGTAGGATTTAACTCCCTGTGTATTTTGTTGGGCTTCTTACCATTATTTTCTCTTACATTTTTACTTTGGTATCTATATACAGATAAGACTGTATTATAAATTATAAAAACTATTAATAATTTCAGACTGAATTATTACATTTTTTTTATTGTTTTGTGTGTGTGTGGATTGAGTAGACTTAATACGTAACTTATATTGACAAGCCTATATTAGCCTATGGACATAAAATAAATCTAATTACCTAGAATTGTTTTAGAACACTAATGTGATGTTTATATCAGGTTAAAAATGATTCCAGCTTGTAAGAGCTGGAATCTGCAAGATGCTGTGTAGTGTCTTGCTTGTAATATAACTTCTACTTCATTGCATAGTTTAAGGTCTTCCTTAGGAAAACTGATATCACCAGATATTCTTATAGTCAATCACATAGGTTAAAATACATGTGAAAGAGTCTATTTCAGCTCTTTGAGTTTTTGGGATAGGAGTTCAAGTATCAAACTGTCTTCAGCGTAATTTTCTGCAAACACAAGTGAAAAATGTGTGTTGTGCTTTTTTAGGCTTCTATTTAGGTTTAACTTCTGAAGTTGGTTTAGTATCACTGATATCTATTCTGCATGCATTGCTTCTTGCAATTTTTTCTTGACAGCTACAAGCAGCTAAACTAAAGGAGAGATGTCTTTTTCAGCATCCCAGGCTACATAGTCACCTGTAAAAGTATTTTTTTTTGGTGAATGCCCTATCTGTTAATTGTATGCGACAGTGGAACAAAACCAGTCAAATTTCTATTGTGGGACTGTGCTATGTTAAGCAGAGGGAAGAAGGGCTAAACATGGATGTCATTCACCACTGCAGCTAAGAATGTTTTTTTTGACCTGTCTGGAGAGTGCTGAGTAACTCATTATAACCAGTGACAAAAGACATCTGCGGTTGAAGCAAACATAATAATATCACCGAGCTTTAAAATTTTTCTTTATTTAATAAAAGAGCATGTTTGTTAACTGTTCTGTCAGTAACTTGAAGGAAACACGTTCCTTTGTGTAGGAAGGGGAAAATACTGGGAACTGTGCTTTTCTGGAGATTGCAGAACAGGTAAAAATTTATCCTTCGCTGAAGCACAGGGTAAAATCCTGTGTGAATGTACCAAATACAGTCTGAGGCTGACTCTTACAGTTGAGCAAATTCAGCATTCACAATACAGTCACTGACTTGTCATATGTATTCTTATGTAATCTTTCTAATAGGCATTTCTAAGATGCCTGGCATTATCCTGAGACATAAATAACTTACATAACTTAATTTTCCATGTCACAGAGCGAATACTTTGTGCATCTTAAGCCATTTTGTTTCTTACAGCAGTTTTAAGAGAGATTTACAATCTGAGTGGGATGGCTTGTATTTTTCAAAGGGAAGTGATGAGTGACTGGGTTAATACCTCAAGACTGAGATGCACAAGGGAAAGTGTAGCCTGTGTGCTTGCTCTGAACTGCCTGGAACTGCCTCTGAGGTAGGAATAGGTACTTCTGTTGTTGCTTGGCCCTTAATGTAAATGGATGAGGAAAATGGAAGGGTTTGAGGAAATTGTTGGTAAAAAAAAAAGGAGAGGTTTATGGCTAGGAAGCACGCGTTCCACTGTGCATGTTACATCTGTCTTATTTGAAACCTATCCTGAGCTCTGCAGGGCTTGAGGAAAGTTGAGTTTGTCTGTTACTGTACTGTGAGCATGTAGTGCCTTTCCTGCATATTTTAATTAATTTCCGTTTAGTTTTTGTATATAAGAACAGATGAAGCGTTGTTTCAAAACTCTGTGACCTTAAAACTGGGTTTTTTTTCTAGTGCCTTATGTGTAGGGTTACAACTAGTCCATGCTGATTAATAAATTCCCAGTTTAAATCAGAAACTTAATCACTGGGAGTATCAACCTGTACTTCAGAGATAGGATGAAAAGCATATTAATTAGTCCATCTTTGAGTGTGTGGTTTCCTGGACTAGCACATCATCATTTTTGAAAGATGGCATTATAATTTTATGTCCCTGTCATTTTGTCTTTAGAGATGTTCAGCGCTTTTTTATCGATGTTTTTCTCACCTCCATGTTTAGTGAATCACTTCAAATATTTTCTACAACTTCATATGCTGAAGTTAAGAACAAGAAGTGCCTAGTGGTTAAGGTTAGAGGTTTCTACTTCTCTTAAATGGGCTCTGCACTTGTATTTGTCTGAGGTTTATCACTGACTTGGATAGACTTGCTAGCAGTATTTATCTTTTGCTGAGCACCTTGGTTCTGGCATACAGATGGCTGGTTTTGTTCTGAGAGTTCTTTGCAGTTACATTTCAGCTTGACTGTGACAATTTCTCTTGCTGTTCCCTTTTACAAACTGGTGAGACACTGATTTTGACAATATTGTCCTTGCTGCATAGAGGCTGTGTCGTTTTATCTTTTTATAGCTAGGCTGACAAACGCCAAGCACTTGTAGCTCTTGCAGAATAGCCCTTCCAAGTCCTGTGCAGGTACTGACCAGTTTCCACATGTAAGTAAAGACCCAGACTAGAAAAAGGAAAAGTTACATACAGCAACTTATCCGTAGTGTTGTGTATACTGATACGTGGTTGCAGGTTGACTTTGGTTGTTGCCGTTTCAGAGACATGTTTAACTTTTTCTGTTTCACTTCAAAATTCAGTCAGCGTGTCAAAAGTTTGATAATGTTTTTTGACAGGCTTATAATTATGTTCTGAATATGGCCAGAGATAAGTAGATATGAAAACAGTATGAACCGTAGGAAGGCTGATGAATCCTTAGTTTTCAGTCAGCATAATCCCCGGTCAAATTTCAATTGTTTATTTATCTGCAAGGAAGAGGAAGAATAAGCTCTCTAGAAATCTGATGCAAATATCTTTGTTCATTGAAAAGACATAGCATAATTTCTGTATTCCGTGTATTGACTTTGTATTACTTCACTTAAATATTCAGAATTACTAATTTTAGAAAAGAAGCTGTGGTGCCCATCCCTGGAGGCCTCAAGGCCAGGTTGGATGGGCCCTGGGCAGCTGAGCTGGTGGGGGCAGCCCTGCCCACGGCAGGGGTTGGGGCTGGGTGGGCTTTGAGGTATCTTCCATTCTGAGCCATTCTGTGGTTGTTGATGTTTTTATTGGTTCTATAGAAGGAACCAGGCTCATTTGTACCCCAGACAATAACATGTTAAGATTTGAGTGCCCACTTCAAACATCAGCTATGTGTTAACTAGATAACTAAAAGTGTCTTTCTGGATGGTTTTTCCCTAAAACACCAGATAACAAAAATAAAAATATAGCAATACTTGTACGTGGTTGCTGGAAAAAAAGTAAGCTCTGTACTGAAGACAAACTTTGTTACAGAAAACTTATCTTGCATTTCATTACCTTTCTTCTGCTTAGTAATTTGCTGATTTGTTAAAAGGGAAAAATAAGAAAAGAGTAATGTAGAACACTCTGATGCTTTGCAGGGGCCACTTCACTTTTCAGATAGAAACTAGTGTAAGGGCTTGTATTTTGACTTCTTCTGTTGTTAAAATGTAGATAGAGAAATTCTTAAACCTATAGCCAGTCGGACTAGAAGAGCAATTGGCAATTGTTGCAGTTCTGCAGGAAAACAGACAACGATCAGTAGCTGCTTTATTTTGGGAAGGCAGTGTTTCATTGATACAAAATGAACAAAAGAAAATGCTTTCCAGCTCCAATGTACTATGGCTGGGTGGATGGCAACAGTTTTGTTGAAACTTTGATGTGTTTGGTGTTGGCTACCTGAGGGATGAATGTAGGTTGATGTTTTTAATTATCTTTAATCCTCTTTTTACGAAAAGGCGCGTTTCATTATATTCATGATGTTGTCTGCCTGTCTGACTGAATAGCTGTAACTGGTAGATGATGTAATAAGATATTTCACCTCTGGGTAACAGTTACATTGATGCTATGTCCTATCAGACCCTCTTTAAGAAGATTTTATAGATAAAACTGAAGGGAAATATTGGGAAGAATGCGAAAAAAAAATCGCAAATGAAACTTTATCAACTGGAAGGAGAACAAAAAGTCTTTCTTTAAACTCTGAGAATGCTGTAAAGCTTTTGTATTTTTCTAATCAATTCAGAGCTGATAGTGTGCTCTTAACAGTGCACATTTTTTTCACCTCAAGATTCATCCCAGTCAGTGTATATGTCCATGTGTCACATTTTTTGAACAAACTTATAAGCATTCTCTTTGATTTTATATGCTACTAATTGGGTACGTGAGCCTTTTAGAGCTTCTTCTTTTGAACTTAACAGAAAAAAAAATTGGTACATTAGCACTTAAATATTTCTTGGTCAACTACTTCTTGGTTACAGGGAATGACAGAAGCATAATTTTGGATGCTAAGCATTTTCCTTCAGCATATTTTGGGTATCAGACAGCAGTTCCCCCACAGAAGGCTTGCTGTCATATTCTTAATTTACTAAAACTTGCCAAATCCACTGTTGTGTTTTAATAATGAAACACTTAAGTTTCAGTGCTTGCTTCATTTTTTGAACATACATGCAAATTATTATAAAATTACTAAAAAGTATAGGTGTATGGGAAATTTTCCTTACGATGGGCTGAATAGGACTTTAGCATAATTTTGAAAGCTCTCACAAAGAAAACACGTGAATATGAAAGTGGACAAACTGTCCTACAGTTACATTGTGTTTGTTAATATCAACCAAACGTGAGCAGTCTCTACTTGCTCATGTAGGCATATACTAGCATTCATCTTAGACCATCATTTGAGCCTCAGGAGAAGTATGGTTTGTATATGGTAGAGATTGTGCTGGTGAGAGCATTTTTTCCCAACAGCAAAGGCTAGGAAGCCTCCAGGTATGTTTTCTCACAGAAATACAGATAAACAGTCTATTGTCACCTTGTTTTTCTTTTCTCAATATTCTGAGAACTCATATCTCTTCAGGTCTGTGCTTGTAGGTAACTTCTCTACATATTTTAGTCTGAGACAGTTGTTTTTAATTGATAGATGTATTTGCTTCTTGTTGCCTTACTGGTTCACGGCAAGAGATTGGGGATTTGCTTTTATATTGGTGCCCTTACCAAGTTAAGTAGTAACCTACTAAGAGATTGTCTCACTTGTCTTGAGAATCTGTCTGAAATTGCTTTTCATATACATGAAAACTCATTAACACCACTGCTACTTATATAGGTGGTGGTACAGGTTTTTGTCCCTTGGGAAAGGGAATGCAAAGTGGTGGGGAACAGATATTGAAATACATTATCTTCTCATGTTTTCTTGTGGTTGCTTTGAAATTTTGGAGTGGCATGACATTTTTTTAAAGTACTGGTCCTTGTTTTGGAGGTGGTAGGAATTAATGGTGTACAGAGCTTTTGAAGGCAGTCCAGTTTTATGTGAAAAATCTGATAGAGGATTTGAGCATTTGGCAATATTTAGCTTTTCGTTTTTGTTGTGGTTTGTTTGGTTTTTTAAAATTTGTTTTAATGGTATAAGTGAGAATGCTGTGGTGAGACAAGGCTGTCTGTACAGCAGGAGGTAATCCAAGACCTGTTTGGTGCTAGACAAATAAAAATGTTTGGAACGTTTCAATCAGAGGATGTGTTTTGGAATCATCGCAGAAGCCGCTGGAGGAACTCAAAATTAGCTTAGATAGTAGGTAGAATCTTATAATGGTTCTTTAAGAAAATTTGAGCAGGCTCTTCAAATTGAGGACTGACAGTGAGGTGAGTGTCATAACTAGGCAGTAGTACAAAGGTTGTAAGGCTCACTTGGGAGATGGAAGTTCAAACTTACCTGCACAATTCACCAATAAAATGCGCAAGCAAAGGGATATTGATTGATATGTTTTCTTCTTGTACTAAAGATATGTGTTAGCTTGAGGAGACATACGGAGAGGGGACCTTGTAGAGTGAGAAATGTGATAGCGTGTTCTGAAGGAAGGGATTCTGAACCTTGCCTTTCCATCACAAATAGTCCTGTGAGCAGAGTGTAGTGTTTGGGAATACCTACTTGGGCTCTGTTGTGAGACTTCATTAGAAGTCAGTCTAGAGTGGACTTAGGTAAATACAGAATGGGTGTGCAGGATATCTTTAAAAACCAGGGAAATAGTACGCTTTTAACTTAGACATTTCATCGATGAAGCAGAAGGTGTAAAGAGGCTTTCTTGGGAAGAAGGAATAATGATTGGGCGTTTCACCTGTGCGTAATCCCTGCTTAAATTTTGTGTGTGAGTATTCCAGTGACAACATTAGCCACTGTGCTTTTAATCACTAAACTACCTTGTAGATTTTGAATAACTGTACGTTATCTTAAACCTTCATACATGAATGCAATTGCTGTTGAGAACACCTGACTTAGACTAAGTAAAATAATTTTTAAATTACACATAGCCATTTAGGTTTTCTGAATTGTTTCTCTTGGTCAGAATTTTAATATCTTTTAAATGTATTCATAGGTAAAAACATCAGAGTTTTACCGATACTCCCGGCAGCTGCGACATGAGGTTGACCAAGCCATGAATTACTTTCATAGCGTTCACCAGCAGCCTTTGATGGAAATGAAATCGAACAAAATTCGTTCTGCCAAACCCCAGACTGCCGTGTTTAGAGGAATGATAGGACACAGTATGGTAAACAGTAAAATTCTTCTCTTGCACAAACCGAGGGTCTGGTGGGAACTAGAGGGTCCTCAAGTACCTTTACGACCAGACTGCCTTGCCATTGTGAATAACTTTGTGTTCCTGTTAGGTGGGGAAGAACTGGGGCCAGATGGTGAGTTTCATGCTTCATCCAAAGTGTTTAGATATGACCCAAGACAGAACACTTGGTTACGAATGGCAGACATGTCTGTCCCGCGTTCTGAGTTTGCTGTTGGAGTTATTGGGAGGTACGTTTATGCAGTGGCTGGGAGAACCAGGGATGAAACCTTTTATTCAACTGAACGGTATGATATTACTGAAGATAAATGGGAATTTGTAGATCCCTATCCAGTCAATAAATATGGACATGAAGGAACTGTGCTGGGTAACAAGTTGTATATCACTGGTGGAATTACATCATCTTCAACTTCTAAGCAAGTGTGTGTATTTGATCCCAGTAAAGAAGGGACAGTAGAGCAGCGAACAAGGAGAACTCAAGTGGTCACTAACTGTTGGGAGAACAAATGCAAAATGAATTATGCAAGATGCTTTCACAAAATGATTTCTTACAATGGTAAGCTTTATGTCTTTGGAGGTGTCTGTGTGATCCTCAGGGCTTCCTTTGAATCTCAAGGATGTCCCTCTACAGAGGTTTACGACCCTGATACTGATCAGTGGACTATATTGGCTTCTATGCCAATTGGTAGGAGTGGTCACGGTGTAGCTGTTCTGGACAAACAGATAATGGTTCTTGGAGGCCTCTGTTACAATGGTCATTACAGTGACTCAATTCTCACCTTTGATCCAGAGGAAAACAAGTGGAAAGAAGATGAATACCCAAGGATGCCCTGCAAGCTGGATGGCTTACAGGTCTGCAGCTTGCACTTCCCTGAATATGTTTTGGAACACGTTAGACGTTGCAGCTGAAACAGAATAAACACCCTCAGTGAAATATGAAAAGCTGAATCTTATTTGTCAGAAAAAAAGTAGATCATTCCGAAAGTAATGCCTCCTATTTATTTCCAAGGAAACTACGACATACACAAAGAGCACAGTAACATTACTTGATTGAGCAAGTTCTTGGCTGCAAAATGCTGTTTTTCACCATAGTCACCACCATGGGCTATGCATTCTCGACTGTAACGAGCAAGAGCCTGCATGCTGTGCTTGTGAAAACCTGTACCAGCGGAGTTGACCCACTGTTCTACGGCTGCTTTGATGGCATAGATCATAGGAAAATGTTGTCCGTGCAGTCTGTCTTTCGTCGGCTCAAACAAATGGAAATCAGAAGGCCCCAAATCCAGGTAATACGATGGATGTGGTGGAACAGTCCAGCCTAGATTGGCAGTGTGATCCACAGTCTTCAAACTAGTATGGGGCATGGAGTTACTATGTTACAGGAGAAAGGCTGTCTTCTTTTTTGGTTTGTGTCACGTCCCACCTGTCAGCTAGTTGTCATGGCAACAGCTTTGCACTGCAAGTGTTTGAGACATACCAAGCACACCCCAAAAGGTCATAAAGTATTTTTTGTTGATCTTTTACAGCCTGGCTCTGGATTAAGCCTTCAGCTTAATCAGCGCTTTGATGGAGCAGTCAGAGTTGATGGTTTATCTGGCTTCCAGGAAATCTAGAAGGATCGCCACCTTCATATCCCAAAAGACTGTGCACACATTTTACCTGCTGACGGCTGCATCCTGAACTTTTTGTGAGGAATTCATGCTCTGTGAACTGCTGTTTTGACACTGACTCAAAATTTTGACAGCAAATCTCATTATCAGTAATGCGATCCAGAAAACAGTCACTTTCAGCCTTGCACTGGATTCCTGGTCATAACTCACTGATTCACGCAAGTGGTCTGATCGAGACACTCTTCATTTCATGATGTGACAGCTGTGTACAGCCATCTGGAACATAGCTTGTCTTTCACATCACTTAGCACTGCTGAAATGCACCACCCGCTGCCTCACTGTGCTCACATCCACTGTTTATCTACAGAAACGTTCAGCATGCGTCAGTGAATGTCAGTGGGTGCAATTGTTTCCTGTTTTATTGGAGGAATTTCAGTCACACACACTTCACACCCACTTCCCCAGACTGCCCGTCTGCTGTCATCTGTCACATGGCGACAAAATGTAGTGGACTACTGGAGGGAAAGTTCAACTTCTACTGCTATACCACCGCCATCTGCCTCCAACATTGTGAGCCAACATAATACAATAGGAGGCATTACTTTTGGAGCAGCTAACATACAATCTAGTTGAATTCCTTCAGAGACGTTAGCATGTTGTGTGTAAGGACAACTGCTAAATGCTTAAGAGAAACAGGATTTACAGGGAGAATACTTACCAAGTTTGTTAGAAAAGCCAATAGTTGGTCTGATACTGTAAAAGTTGTGGGATTTGTTTTTGTTTTGTTTTAACAAATGCAGTTGTAAACAGGGGAAAGAAAATATATATTTTGGGGTGTGCTTATTCTTTTGATAGCATTTCATGTCCATACTTGTTTGATTTTTTTTTTTTTTGTTTTTTGTTTGTTTTCCTGTGGCCACGGTACCAGATTTCTTCTGAAATCAATTGAATTTAACAAAACATTTGTGGAAGGAAGAAAGACCTGATTCTCTTTTTTTATTGAGCATCAAAGTAGAACTCATAAGCTGTAGTAGGATACAACTAAGTTTAAAAGAACAAAGCTAAAACCATTTTCGTGTTTTATATTGTGTTTGGATGCTCTTCCCATTAATTGCAAAGTACTCTCACATCTGCGAGGTGTTTCTGTTTTCCCTTAAATACTGTTAAGTATAACCTCAAGTCTCTTTGCATGTGTTTTTTTCCAAGTTTTGTATATTAGTACTGGTACGTCTGCCAAAATGTGAATTACACATTTTCTACTGAATTGAAAAAAAACTTTAACTTTTTAAAAATATTATTATTTAAAACACTATTTCTGTGCTGCCTTCTGTTGTCTGCATTATGTTTGTTGGTAAGTAAAGTATGTACATGCATATACATTGTAAAAAAACGAAAAACAACCTTTTTACATGCAGCTATATTTAAACCAGTGCACAAATTCAGCCATATCTGTTAAATTTAAGGTGTAGTTTTATCCATTAATGAGCTAAGTCAAAGTTCTTACATAACTGGAAGCATCATTTGGTATCAAAGTATCTTTAGCATATACTGATTGATTCAGTAACTTTAAAATCCTTATACTGACTTTACGTAATGAACTCTTAATAATTTGTTGTTTTATAAATTATTTTAAAAAACTAAATACATCTTACCTGAGTTTATGTATGAATGTGCTACCAGTCTTGTTTTTTATGAAAATGGAAAGTGTCAGTAAGCGAATGCTCACCAGCACTGCTTTGACCCACAGGTATTTTCAGAACTGGATGTACTATAGTGTATTCTCAGCAGTGGCTTTGCTTGTACTCGTGTAGAAGTGATAAATCTTTTATTAATAGTAGGGTTTTTTTTTTAATTATTTGCTGCTGTGAACTACTGTGTTTTGAGTTAGGTGTTTGGATGGCTACTACCATTTGTGTTTCTACAAAAAAAATAACAAATTTCATGGCTGTAGCTACTGACCTCATAGTGCCTGAAATGAAATGTGCTGTTCCTGAGGGCTTTTAATAACTCCATTGTGTTAACTTGCAGATATCAGTAAGAATGATTTGCCAAGGTATAAATAATGACAATTCAATTCTTACTTTCTTTAATGTTGTAAAAACAATCACTAATAGAATCCGAAGGAGAAATATGGGTAACTCAAAGGCTTACACTTGGTTCAGGAGTGTAGGAAGAAAATACTGAAACATGCATTGGCATCTTCTATAAAGTCTTATGCTACTTTGCTTTTCTTTAAGCAGTAGACTTAATAGACAGCACTGCAAATCGACTTTATTCAGCATCTTCTAGTTGAAAATCACTGTAGAAGAGGAATGTACAGTACTCAGGGAGTTCAGAAGAATGCACTTGCAGAAGGACCAAAATCACTGCAAAATGTCCTGTGTTAAAAATAACACCTACTTACCTAAACTGAATTTTAAATCATCAACAGAAGTGAAAACAACGTATACAACTCCTCATCTATATAATTCGTGATATCTTTGTAGTAATTATGTTCTGGGTTGAGATGTGATAATCTAAATCAGATCAGTAGATTTTTTTTTCTTAAAAATGACTTACTGAGCATTTTCTTTCTATAAGTTAACAGGAAGGATAAATTTATGCCATCACAGCTGTATTAATGTTATCTATGCCGGTAGTGACTGGACCAAATATTGATTTTCAGCCTTCTCATGTAGACTAAGGGTTGCTTTTAAATTTAAGTCTTTACTGAGTGAGAAATATCATTTACTTTCCTAGTAGTCTAACTTAAAGCCAACTTTATTTACACTAAAACCTCAGTTCTACTGTGAGACTTGTGCGTACATTGTCCTTTGTAGGTGCAGAGATGACCTGATTCCAGTAGGTGCTGGCTGTGTGCAAGTAAAAAGGTTCTTCTGTATCTATCTCAAAGAGTATTAGGGCACAAAAAAAAGCCAAAACCTTTTTCTTTACTATTCTTGCTCTTTTTGTCACAACCTCATTTCTTAATAAATGTGTGGGGCAGCAAAAATCTAATCCTGCTTGAGTAAGCTTCAAGGGGACTTAATAACATGTAGCTCACTCTGAAAGTAATGCTTCCTGTTTATATTCATGGAAACTACAACATATGCAAGGAGCACAATAACACTTTGATAGAGCAAATTCTGAGCTACAAAACTACTTTTCACCACAGTCGCCACCATTAGCTCTGCATTCTCAACTGTAATGAACAAGAGCATGCATGCCACGATTATAAAAATTTGTGTCCCCCACTGGTGGTGACCCACTGTTCCCCAGCATTGAAAATGTTGCCTATGCTGTCCATCTTTCTTCAGCTTGAATAGATGGAAATCAGAAGGCCCCAAATCCAGACTACACAGTGGGTGTGGTAGGACAGTCCAGCCAAGATTGGCAGTGTGATCCATGGTCTTCAAACATGTATGGGGCCTGGAGTTATTGTGTAACAGGAGAAAGGTTGTCTTCTTCTCTGGCCTGACTCTGGAAGTTGGAGCCTTCAGCTTAGTCTGCATCATGATGTATGGGTCAGAGTTGATGGTTTGTCCAGATTCCAGGAAATCCAGACAGATCGCCTTTCCTATCCCAAAAGGCATTACTGTACTTGCTGAGAGCTGTGTCTCGTCTTTTTCTTTGATAGAAAATTCACATCTTGCTGCTCCAAGGACTGCATTTTTGACTCAGTCACTCAGTGCTGACACTGCATCTCATCACTGGTAATGGTGCAGTTGAGGAAACTGTCACCTTCAGCCTCAGTAGGTCCTGGCAAACTTTCATACAGTGTTGTTTCTGTTCCTGTGTAAGCGTTTTTGGCACTCAGCGCAAGCTTTGTGATATTTCAACATTATTTCCGACACATTGAAGTAGATACTTATCCTATACAGTTTCCTGATCACAATCTGCTGATTCACGTGGATAAATTTTGTAGTGTGACATCTGTGAGCAGCCAACTGGGATGTGGCTTATCTTCAGTCTCACTGTCACCACTGCTAAAATCCACCACCTACCACTTCACTTTGCTCACATCCACTGTTGGATCTCCAGAAACATTCTGTGAGTGTTGTACATCAGTAGGTGCCATTTTTCCATATGGAGGAATTAAATTCCACACCATTATTTCACCTGCACTTCCGTGTTAGACATCATTGTGTCAGGCTGTCCTTATGCAGCCATCTGTCACACAGCAACAAAAGGGAATGGAATATGGGTGGGAAGGTTCAGAATCTACTGCCATACCACCAACATCCACCTCTGATGTTGTAGGCCACCATAATAAAACAGGAGGCATTACTTTTGGAGCAGCCCTTGTAGCATACAATATTATACCACAAGGGCTTGTCTGGGAAATGGATGTGGTTCTGGGAATCTGGTTTTCCATGATTCAAGTGTAGTAAATGGATATTACTTAAGACTTAATTAGAAGTATTGGTAACGATGGAAGTGTTTCAAGTTATGTTTCAGGTCTGTATTTAAGCAACTTCTGAGTTTCGTCGGCAAAGCAACTGCTAGTGAAGGCTTTGGTGTGTATTGATACTTGAAGCATTAAGAACCAGATCATTTTTAGATGCTCTGCTTTTAAGTTCCTGTTCATCTCCAGCT